TAAAAGCCTTGCCTTTTATCATTTGGATGCTCATAATTACACAGAGCCAGCAAATGAAGGTATTGACATCATGTGCTGAAATTTAGTAAATGCAGAATATTCAATTCAATTCATTTTAGTATAGCGCAAATATAACAGAAGTTATCTCAGGACACTTTTCAAAATAGAGTCAGGTTAGACGTACTATTATAAAAAAAAGACCCAACAGTTCCCACCATGAGCAAGCACTTGGCGACGTGGCAAGAAAAATTCCTTTTAAGGGAGAACTCGAACAGCCTTCGGCTCTAGGTGGTGTCGTCTGCCTCACCAGTTGGGTTGAGGAAGGAAAGAGAGATAATAGGGTAAGACAGAGGAAACAGAGGTAAAGACAGAAGGACAGAGACAAAGGGAAAGACGGAAGGCAGAGGCAGAGCAAAGGTGCGCAGCAACAACAGTATCAACAACTACCTAATAGTAGTGACTGATGGTGATAATGATGATGGACATGAAGAAGATGATGGACGACTGACAACAACGATGGGACAAAAAGCAATGATTATAGTAATAATATAACTGTATTAATAATAATAGAATAATAATAATAACAATAATATTTAGTAATATTAGCAATGGGAGTCAATGGAGTCAAGCAGGACCATGCAAGAGACACCACAGGATCCATGAGAACCTGCGAGAACTGTGACAGGATTGTTCTAATTTTTGTAATGTACATAAATGAAAAAGACAGTCCTGGAGGTTTGCTTTATGTGGGAATTAAAGACATATCCTGATCGAGATAACCAAGATTCCTGACAGTGTGCTGGAGGCAAGTTACAGAATTCATTTTTTTCTGAGTTTAGCATCAAATTGCAGCTCATCCAGGTTTTTATGTCCTAAGACATGTTTGTAACTTAACTGTTAATTTCATCGGGCTTGATCGACAGATATTACTGGGTATCATTCTGCATAACAGTGAAAGTTAGTTAGTTAGTGATTCTTAATAATTTGCAAAGAGAAGCATATATAAAGTGAATAGAATTGTCCAAGCACAGTACCTGTGAAACTCCATGACTACTTAGTATTGGAGGATTCATCGTTTAACGGTACAAACGAGAAGATCTGATAAATATGACTTAAACCAGCTTAATGCGGTTCTTTAATGCCAATTTGATGCTAACTAATCTAATAGAATAGTATGGTCAATGGTGTCAAATGTGGCATAAGAATATATAATACAAGTACAGAGACAAACCATTGTCAAAAGCAATTAAAGGTCGTTATTCTTTACCAGTGCTTTATGTCTGTGGAATCTAAATCCTGACTAAAATCATCAAATAAGCTGTTGCTATGTAGAATCACTTTCAACTGCTTGGGACTATTTCTTCTCTTTCAGAGAGGAAGGGGAAGTTATGAGGTTGAAGAGGCTGCATATGATGTAGTGAAGTTCAAATTCCTTTAACAATTGTAAACATTGTTATTTATATAATGTATCAATACAACTATAGAATACAGAGATGCATACAAGTATGTAGCTTATTGGACTAATTCTTTAAGCTTTCGAAAAGCGGAACATGTCACATTATAGAGTCTCATTACATGTGTAGCTGCCATTATACGTAGGCTTTAAGTGACTGCTCCTCAATCCCTCCCCGCCATCAAGTGCTGCCGTTTAGAAACTGTCGTTAAAGGGTGCCACTTGTCTGGGCTCAGGAAGTCTGCAGCCTCTGGAGAAAAAACACATAGCCGAAACCAGTAATGTCCAAAAATCTTCAAGCACAAAACAACCACCATTCAATAAACATTATTCCAGAGGGGTTCAAAGTCTCTCTTCATCCAAAACTCAAGTCAATTTTATGTGTTTACTTTAATATCCAGAGGCTTTGGATTTTAGGCCAGAGAGCGACCACTGCGAGACCCTATTGTATGTGAGGATTATATTTTTTTCCTCAGAAAAGATCCATTTTTATAAATGCATTCAGTGGTGGCAAATATTACGTTTCATATGGGTTATATGTGCAAAATGTCTCAACAGCCACCCTAGAGCAGCCCAGAGCACATTTGACTGATGTATGAAATTGGTAGACATTATCAGTCTACTTAGTGCTAAACCAACAGGGAGTTGGACATTTTGATTAGTGTCACTCATAGTCATAATCCACCTACTTTATAGCAGTTTCATCTAGTGAAATTTACTCTACTGTTGTCTACTCATGATTGCTGGCATATAACATGACCACATCACATCGGCGCGTGACAGGTGAAGTGAATAACACTCATTATCTGGTTACATGGCTCTGTCAGTGGGTGGATATATTCAGGCAGCAAGTAAACTGTGTCCTCAAGTTGTGTGTTAGAAGCAGGAAAATGGGCAGCGTGAGGATTTTGAGCGACTTTGACAAGGCCAAATTGTGATGGCTAGACGACTGGCTCGACAGCTCCAGAACTGCAGTTTGTGGGGTTTCCTGGTCTGCAGAGGTCAGTACTATCAAAGTGCTCCAAGAAGGTCGGATGCACGTGGGAAGCGAAGGCTGCCACTGTAGTCAAACTTGAAACAGTTAATGCTGGTTCTGATAGAAAGGTGTCAGAACACACAGTGCATCACAGTTTGTTGGTATGGGGCTGCAGAACATTCTGACCACTGATATTATAGTAGTATTATGCTATAGCCTACTATACTCTCCTATATGATGTGCTATGCTATGCTATGCTATGCTATGCTATGCTATACTTTACTATACTATGCTATTCTACTCTATTATATTATAAAACACTAATATAAATAAGAATATACTACTGTATATTATACTATACTTTTCTTGACTCTACTATAATGTACTGTACTGTACTATACTATACTATAATATACTATAAGTACTGAGGGCCATGTGACTTAATAAAGGAAGTAAGGCTGAAGTGAACTTCCAAGGTACATTCTGCCACTGGCATGCCTCCTGTTGGCCACCAGCTAAAGTGTTTTAGTATTTGCAACTTGTGTTTTATGTACTTAAGGATGTTTCCACATGTTGTGTGGTGATAGTTGATGATAGTTGTAGGTGTATTTCATCACACTATAAACTTCTTCTTATTACTATTATATATTGTTATTTAGTTTACATTATAATACACACTACAGATCCAGTATTCTCGTATCTACACACCTGATGTAACTTAAGTACAGGTAACTTGCATAATGTCCTGACATAACTACAGATATCCTACAGATTAAGAGTGAAGAGTGTATTTTATACATATTTTTATTTTATAGCTTTCATCATTTTTCAGGCCCTTATAGCTGTGGTGCTCTTTTATTACCTGTGTAGGTTCCTTCTATTCCTTCCTGGCTCCCCATTAGTGTCTTTGTCCTCTGTCTGGACGCTGTTATCAGCCATTTGTGGTCCACACACCTCCTCAGTGGTCCCTGTGGCCACACACATCCTCCAGATACTACTCTCCTATAACGACACACACACACACACATGTACATACACACAGTGAACAAGTATAAGGGGACCTTTATACTGGGTGGTAGAAAGCAAGCTTTATGAGGATATCAACCATCTGGCTGAGCGCGGTGACAGCTGACGTGAAAGAAAACAGCAGTAAGGTTTTATAGGGGCTGAACTAGGCCATAGTGTTATGAGGCAAAGTCATGTATGTTGGAATTTTTCTTATGTGACCAGTTGATTAAACACAAGATTAAATTATATAATACGGACAAAATGGCTCATTACTGAGGTAAAGAAATCCAATAATTGATTACCATGAATATTATTTTTAATGTGTTCTTGAAATTACTCTCGTAGTGACAACATTGCTTTACCCACAAAAACTTTATTCACAAACCTCTGTTTGACTGTTAAGGATTTAGTCTCAGCATAAAAGCCAAAAGGATACGCTGTGATATTGTTTCTGGCTGGTAGGTGATTAAGAGTGATTGATGTTCAACATGAACGCAAGAATTAGCCCCAGAGGAAAAACACGGCCCCATTAAATTACTGTTGAGATCAGCTTCGATCAGGGTTGTTTAGCAGCCCAGGCTTGAGTCCATGGACAGCCAGTCTACACTATGATTAGCATGCAGTCTCTGTTGCAGCACATTTCTTGTTATGTGTTATTGGATACTTTTTTTTATTTTACTTATTATTTTATTGGATCAGGCAGTGTGGCTGTAGGGACAGCAGTGTTGATCGGTCCATCACTTTGGTCCAGACTGAAATATCTCAACAACTGTTTAGTTCAAACATTCACTTTTCCCTTAAGATGAACTTTAAAAGAATCAGGTCAAATTTCACATCAGCCTCAGTTGTGTTTTATGCTAATTAGCAAATGTTAGCATGCTAACATGCTAAGCTAAGATGGTGACTAT